GGAGGAAGGAAGGAAGGAGAGAGAAGGAGAGAAGAGAAGGAAGGAGAGAAGGAGAGGAGAGAAAATGAGAGAGAAAGAGAAAAAGAGAGAGAAAGAAAGAAGTCAATGAGGAATGGAGACCCCCAAAGTTTAGCAGCAGTGGAAAGCTATTTCCACTCCTGTCCTCTAAAGGGGTAACGGGATAGCAGTGGTTTCCAAGGAGACCTATATATCTGGAGAAGACAGCTGCTAGACGTGAACTATGACCTTCGATAGGGAAAGGCAACCACTGACAAACTTCAGTCCTGTAGAGGAAGAACCCTTGGCCTCTCTCCTCTAGCTCTCTGAACTAGTTCCCTATATGGCTAGATCCAAGGGAGTTCAGGTGATACAGTCAGTCTGTAAAGGTTAGTATCCTGGGGAATAGAACTGCCTCTGACAGTGGACAGAGAGTGGATCTGAAGAATCCATTGGAGAATGATGAGCACAAACTGTTACTCATGATGGGGTGGAAGCAAATATATCAGAATTAGGGGTGGGGGTGGCAAATGTGTGTCATTTGCAAGAGCATCCTAGAAGAATGTAACCACCCCCCTCCCCCAAAAGATCGAGCAACATTGATTAAAATGAATAAAAATACAATAGGAGAATGTCAAATAAGCTGGCTGATTGAGAAGATCGTTTATTTGTTTATTCATTCATTCATGTATTCATTTATCAATCATCAAAGGTTTATTTGCACCTCTAGATAGCAAGATTGCAAAAATGGATTAGATATCTCTATATGCCTGAAACTTTTTATAATACAATTTTGAAAGAACTGGATTATACAGGGTCACTGTCTTCAAGAACCTAATGGTCTGGACTAGGAAGTCCAGAGGATTCGGCTTCTAAACTGGAGGATTTTGCGGCTATACTGACTGTGGGGTAGACAGACGGGAGGGAAGGAGAGGATGTTCTGGGGCGGGTATTGAGTGGATGTGGAGGATTGGTGGGAGATGCGGTGGAAGAAGCAGAAAACAACTCCGGAGTTCAAGATTGCATGGTCAGGTCTGCCTTTTAGAAAGATTCCTGCGTCATCAGAGCAAAGGATGGATTGGTGGAGCAAAAAACTAAGAAATGAGAAAACTAAGAAATGATATGAGGGCCAATAAGCAATGCCTGTGCATGAAACTAGGATCTGAACAATAGCAGGAGAGCCAGACATGAAGAGGAGATACATTCAAGAAGTGGTCATGGGGAATAATGAACAGAACTGAAGAATTAAATGGCTTTGGTGTGTGCGAGAGGGAAAATGCTTTGAGCTGTTTTGCCTTCTCAATACTCCCACCCACTCTTCAGCTAGTAGCTCCTGGGTTTTCCTTGAGAGCAGGACTCCCACCTGCCCAGCTGAGTGCAGTTTCCATCAAACTGCTACCCATGGGTTCTTGTCTTCTCTGGCCAAGAGTGTAGTCATGTGACTCAAGTCAGAAGAATCAGTTGCTCCCACCTGAGAATTTGGAAATCTTGAGCTTGGCACCTAGATTCCGCCTTGGGTCTTGTCATTTTTGAAGCCTTCATCTTCATTTTTTTTCCTTACATTCTGTGTGCTATCCATGGATTTCTTTAAAAGTCCTTTTTGGGGGAAATTCAATAGGCAAAAATGGTTTGTTCTGGAGAACAGAACTGCCTCTGACAGTGGGCAGAGAGTAGATCTGGAGAATCCACTGGAGAGTCATGAGCACAAATGGTTAGTCTGGATGGTTGGAAACAGAAAACCTCAGCTGACTGTGGCGAAGGGTGGTACCTTACACAGGGAGATAAGCACAGGTTGAGTAGAAAGTTTGAGATGGGGTTTCCTGCAGTAATGGGTGAGTAGTTTGCTTTTGAGAAGCCCATGGAAAAGCAAAGGGAAAAATTCAAAAGTTGTCCAGGGACTTTGGGGGAACTCTAAAAATGACACCGTAGAGTGTAAAACCACCTCAGGTCCTTGGATTTAGAGAGTTCTAAACAATACTGACCTCCTAACAATTTACTCAGTCTTCTCCAAGGAGGGCAGCTCCTCCATTGGGTAGTGACCGCCTTCTGCAGAAACCCCAGAATCAGCCGAAGGAGTGGACAGAGCCACATTTCCAGTACTGGAAGCCCTGAGTCCTGGCTCTGGTTACTTCACTAATTAGCTGGGTGACCCTGCTTCAATGCCCATCTTTCTCTGAAACTCAGTTTCCTTATTACTAAAACAGAAGAGTTGAACTATATTTGGGGTCTTGAAGTATGTTCCAAGATAACTTACTGTTTATTTGAAAAGGGGTCCTGTATACTGGGAACCTGGATTAAATAGCCTTAAACAGATTTCCTTATTGCAAGACTTCTCAGGGCCCTAAAAACACTCATCTGTGATGCAAATCTCCAAGAGGGGTGAAGGTGAATATTTCTCAATCTATCCTTGCCCAAGGAAACTTTTTTCTCCCCCATGGTGAAACGTGAGGAACCAGTAGTCATCAGAAGTCACTTGTAGAAATGTCGAGTTAGGTGATTTCTAAGGCTGTTCCAGCCCAAACACCCCATGATTCTGCCTAGCCTGGTGTTATGGGCCCCTCCTGTCTTTCCCACTTGCCTCCTCCTCAGCAATGATTGGCTCTGAAGGACTCTCACCATGTGTTGTAAGGGGCATCTCCCAGGAAAATCACACTTGAATGCCTATAAAGTCACTTAAAGATCTAGTCTGGCTCTTGAAACCCCCTGAGCAGCTTAAATGGAAAACACAGCCCCCCACTGCACTCGGAGCACAGATCCAGGCCCAGCCCGAAGGGATTGCAAAACATGCTCTAGCATGCATTTGGGAAAACAAAGAAAACCTTACTCTTTTCTGCTCCAGACAGTCTGAGACGCTCTGTACCCTTGGGCCCTTGCCCGGTTCTCTCATCTGCCTCAGTCCTGGTACTAAATTGGTTCAAGGTTTGGAGGAAAGCTTCAGAGGAAAGGGGGAAAAGGATGTTTAGAGTTCTTAAATGTTGAAGTCACCCTGAGGACCGTAGCATAGGCCCTTGCCAGCCACCAGGGGGCGATGACAACAGCATCTGTACAGATAGCCTTTCCCAAGAAAAACAGCAGTAAATTGCACCTAATGTATTTATGAATGATGAAGGGACGAGAGAAAGAGAGAGAGAGAGAGAGCAACTGGGACTCTAGTGTGTGTGTGACAGCGTGTGCATATGTGTGTGTGTGTGTGTGTGTGTGTGTGTGTGTGTGTGCGCGCGCACGCGCGCGGAACTGGGTGCCCGAAGCTAAACCTTTGAAAATCTGCTAAGTATAATAAAATAAAATCTGCAACTCTACTATATATTCACAGGATGTGGTCAAGTAGTTAAAAGTTTCCTTGAAGGAAAACGAGGTAGAATAAATCAGAATAGCATTCCTATGAAAGAAAAGGGAAGAGCTCTCAGGAGTATAGCTGTTGTCACTGTGTGAGTATGTGTGTGAGCATGCAAGCATGCATGTGCACGTGTGTGTGATTGCAGGTATATACATGGGTGTGTGTGAGCCTGAGTATGTGAAAGTGTGTATGTGGCTATGAATATGTAGGGGTGTGTGTGTGTGTGTGCGCGCGCGCGCAGGGCTCATTCAGGGCTTCTCAGTGTGAGGGGATCTCAAGGAAATCTGGGCAATAGTTCCTCCAGTTCCTGCCCTTTCCTTTCAAACAAACAAACAAAATCATTCCTACGAGTATTTATGGAGCCTCTAATGCACACGCCCCTCCCCACTGGCATCTGGAAAAGCTCAGACCTAGCCAATTTAAAGCGGGCACTGGAAGAAAGAAGGCGCTGGGGACAGAAGGGATGCCTTGGCTTCGAATGACTTTTACAAAAACCCGTTCTCCTCTGTGATGCTCCAAACAACCCAGGGAGGTGAGGCCAGACAGGACTGTGGCCCCTGATTTGAGAAAACGAAGGCTCAGAGATGACACAACTGGCCCATAGTCACTCAGTTAGGAAGCAGAAACCCAAGGATGGAACAAGGCATTGTCAATCCAGGGGTCCAAGTCCCTGTCATCAGTACTTTCAGCAGCCCACCAAGCGTTGGGTTTGCACAACGCAGGGCAAGTTTCCGGGTAAGGTTTGCCAGCAGTGACCTCAACAACATGGACCACCGTGTGTGTGTGTGTGTGTGTGTGTGTGTGTGTGTGTGTGAGTGTGTGTGTTAGCTGTGGAGTACACTGGTGTCAACCAAGGCTCTTCAGGAAAAATTATGGATCTTTGCCATGAGTGCTGTAGGGAAGTGGCTTCGTGGGTGACAGTGCCATGGTTTGGCGTCCTAGCAGCTGTGGCCCTCCAGCAAGTCGCTTCACTTCTCTGAGCTTTGTTTTCAGACGCCCCCTTGGTAGATCGTGGACTTAAGTAAAACATATGAGTAGAGTGCTCAGCTCAGAGCAAGAATTTAAAAAACAAAAGTGTCAAGAGCCTTATCAGTCCTTGTCTCCTAACAGTGAATAAGTTTCAGTGTTTCTTTCCCGGGGCCCTGCTGGCCAAGCCCCTTTCCTTCCCTGGTTCCTTCTCTCTCCCTCCTCTCCTGCCTCCTCCCTCCCGGCTCTGGGTCGCTCCAGCAAAGTTCCCAACTTAGTCGACATGACGCGCGGCGCAGCCAATGGGAGGCGGAGTTGGCGTTTTTTTTTTGGGGGGGGAGCGGGGGTGGGAGGGGTGGGCCCCGCGTCTCCGGTGTCTGCCCTGCTCAGTGAATGGAGAGAGCGAGCGCCGGCCAGCTCACCCGGCCGCCCTGTGCCCCAGCCGCCACCGCCACCGCGCGCCCTAGCCCAGCCCCAAGCCAGACCTCCCCGGGCGCCACGCCCCACTGCGCTTGCCCCAGATCCCCAACCCGGCCCGCGGGCCATCGGGGCCAGGGGGCGCTCCGCACCTGGGCACTCCCAGCGATGCGCAGCGGGGCAGCGCCGGCCCCGCCGATGGAGCTGCTGCTGCTGCCGCCGCTGCCGCCCGGCGCTCTCCGCTCCGCCCGCGCCCCGTGCGCCTGAACGCCGAGCTCGCCCCTCCTCCGCGCCAACTCCGCCGCCGGCTCCCCAGGCCGCCCGCGCTCCCCGCGCGCCTCCTCGGGCTTCACGCGTCTTGCCCCGCAGAGGCAGACTCCTCCGGGAGCGGGGCCCTGCACACCATGGCCCCCGGGCGGACAGGGGTCGGCGCCGCCGTGCGCGCCCGCCTGGCGCTGGCCTTGGCTCTGGCGAGCGTCCTGAGCGGGCCCCCAGCCGTTGCCTGCCCCACCAAGTGTACCTGCTCCGCCGCCAGCGTGGACTGCCACGGGCTGGGCCTCCGCGCGGTTCCTCGGGGAATCCCCCGCAACGCCGAGCGCCTGTGAGTACCCCTGCCCCACCCCACGCGGGCCACCCACCTGGGTCCCACAGAGGGGGCCCCCAGGCGCCAGATCCGTCCTTTCCCCTCGGCCTCCCTGGATGCAGTCTCCATTCTCATCTCTTCTCAGATACGATCTCTCCCTCTCGGAGCTGGGGATCTGTAGGCTTGGTCAGATCGGGAAAGAGAGGTCTTGAAGCCCTCCGCGAAGGGCAAAGAGCAGTACCTCTCCAGAGGTAAGGGCTCCAGACGCAGGGCCGGCTGACAGCTTCTAAGGAGTAGCTGGCGGGAGGTGAGGGGAGGCAAGAACACTGCAGCCTTGCGGTCTTAGGGTGAGGGCCAGGGGTCTGTGCTTATTAAAAAAGGGGGCAGGCGAAGGAGAAATCTGTATGATGATGGGGCGTCAAGGCGAGGAGTCGGGAGAGAGGGCCCAAGACTGTTGACCCGCTTGGAGATCAGAATGGGCCAGCCGCTCTCTGGCTGCCCTTGCAAGGAAAGTTGAGTGTGGGTGAAGGTTTAACTTCTGAGGAACTGGACAGATTCAGAGTGGGTGCTCGCAAAACCCGCTCCACCTGGAGCGCAGCCTGGGAGATGCCAAGTTGCAGACCCGGGTGAATTTTTTATGGCTCGGTTCTAAATGCCTCCTCAAACGGGGCTGGGCTGGAGAATGGAAATGCTGACAACCCTTCAAATGAGACCCAGCGTTATAATCTTACAAACCGCACTCAGCCTCGGATCCTGGGCTTGGCAGCGAGTGGCGAGGCGCTTGGAGAATGGGGTGGATTGACCTTCGTTTTAGCCCCAATTGTGCAACCAAATATTTACTTTTCATATGTCAACGTTTTGGAAACGTTTATCATTTTGATCCTCGGACCAGATTCAAAACTTGGACTCTGGGGTGGGCTCCTCTTCCTCTGCAGTTGGGGTGGGGTAAGGGAGTGGGGAAGAAACGGTGGAGTGGGTGGGAGCCTTACTGGGAACCCAGCCGAGAAGTGGGTGAGGGTTTGCTCTATTGTGGTAGACTCCCTCCGTGTCTTGCTCTCCCTGTTTCCCCCTTCCTCATGTGCCTTAGGGGTAGGTGCCTGGATCTTCCACTCTCTTCTTGACTTCAGGCTACAAGAGTATTAATGACAAGCATTGTCCTAGAGTGTGTTATTCCTGTTAGTCACCTCCGATCACCCCACCTCATCTTCTCTTCCACTTCTTTATGCCTCTCTGGGTGGAGACTCAACAGAACTGTCTTCCTTATTTCTGGTGCTCTCTTCTTCCTTTGGCTCAAAACTTTTTTTTCCCTCAAGTGCAATGATTGTTCTGTTGAGTTGAACTACACAATCCTAAAGGGTGAGAGCAGAATCTTCATTAACACATGTCAAAAACCAGGCTTGGAAGTGTAAAACGACTTGCCCAAGAAAACACAGCAAGTTGATGGCAATAAAAGGGCCAGAATCCAGTTTTTCACACCTTAATTCAGTTATTATGTTAATCCAGAGCAGTGAAAAACTTGTTTTAGTGGTATTTTTAGATACCTATAACTTGTAAACTAAGTTCCCCTCCTCCTCACACCAGTGCTAGCCACATGAGTTAGTGAAATAATAACTATAGCTAATGTTTGATAAATGCTTTTCATTCCTTGATTTGTGTATATGTATTATCTTATTGAATCTCTACAATAACCTTATTAGTTACATAGGCAATGCTTATTACTCCATTTTACAGTTAAGCCATCTTGTCATTTACTCAAGGTCATGCAGTGAGTGAATTATTTGAATCCAAGCCTGACTGGCTCCTAAGCCCACAACCTTATCGCTCCCCTGGTCATCCGTGGAACAAGGGTCAGTTTGGGCCATGACCTATAAACTAACAGTCCTGGGAGGGTTCTGGCTGGGCTTGGATCTTAGAATAGGCTGCTGTTGCTTCTGCTTCTGTCATACCCTGCAAATGTTCAGCTCATTTTGATGCTAGGTCTGCTGCTTGGGGTCTTGAAACTACTTCTTCCTCATCTTCAAAATTGTGCTGCCTGTTTGGGAAACCAAGAAGAGTAAACCCTCTCCTCCTGGTATGTAGGAAGTTTCCCAAAGCTGTAGGAACAGCACCCACGCCAGCATGTCACCCAGTCATCTCCCTTCAGAGATCTGTGCAGCTCAGGGAAGCCCATCAGCTCCAGAAGCAATGGTGTGGAGACTGGAGTCCTGGTGGTCTCCATAGGCCCCCTGCTGCAGTCACGGCCTGTGTCTTTAACCAGCAACGGCAGAGCAGGAGCTGCTTTGATATCCCTGGTGTCATCTGCCTCAGTTGTGGTCACTGGTGCCACTTTGGCTAAGGCGCATGGGGGTGCTGCAATGGTATCTCATTCTAGTCCCCTTCCTCCCTGGGAATGGGGGACAGCGTTTAGGAACAAGCTGGGTCAGGTTCACTGCAGGGTTTCAGGGCAGCCCCCCAACAGTCTTTCACCACCAATGTCCTTCACCAACCCCGTCTCTCAGCCAACTCAGATGTCACGTTTCAATTCTGAAAACTCTTGGGGGATATTTGGCATTTTTATGCTCTGCCAAGGGTTTCTTCAGAGAGGAATCACTCATTTATTCCTGCCTTCATTCATTCAACAAACATTACTTGAGGCTGGGTGCAGTGGCACTTTGGGAGGCCGAGGTGAGAGGATCGCTTGAGCCTAGGAGTTTGAGAACAAACATGACTTGAACCTCTACTGCATTCCAGAAACTGTGTATAGAATCATTGCATATACAGAAGAAAACCAGCCCTTCAACGTAAGGAATGTAAGCAAAAGATAGAAGAAGGAAACTTGCTTTGGTGAGCCTTTTGAACTCCCCAGGGCTCATGTTGCCATGGGGCACGTTTTGTCAGCACTGTCATCAGATGCTCAGGACTGTCCTAAAATCCAATTTTCTGATCTCAAATGTTTAAATTGTGTTTTAAAACAAAGAAACAGCATTTTCTCCGTTCTCCATTCTTGATACTCTGCCTCCCAAAAAGCCTTTGATGAAGGGATTTGTGTGTGTGTGTGTGTGTCTTTGTATATTGTTTCTCTGGATGCTTTTGACTTCTGAAACCTTGTGTTATGACATTAAGGAAAACCTGAGTGGGGATAACGTGCTCCCCATTTGGGCTTTGCTTCAGGCCTGGAATGGGGCCTGAACTGTTCATAATGAAGCCAGAATCAGAGTCGGGGGTCTGTGTTCCAGGATCTTCTCTGTAATGTCAGCACATCAGGCAGAAAAAGAAACTGACATTTTTTCCCCCTCCATGAGGAGGTGACACCCACAAGAAAGCTAAATAAATGCAGAGGAGAATTCAGTGTAATTTATTATCCATGCAGCAAAGATAGAGGACGAGAGGAGAGGAAGTGAATGGTGGTGCCTGAAACCAAACATTTACCATGGAGCACAGAGTAAACAGATGTTGCACTTACCCTTCTGACTACAAAAGGAGCCCACGGATGTCATTCTTCTCCAACCACAATCTCAGCCTGGAAAAAGAGGAGGCAGATGAAAATGAACTCTCACGTGGGGCCACTTCTCCCCATGCTGCCGTCCTGCCTAGAGGCAGGCAGAGGCCCACTTCTCCCTGCAGTGAGGGGTGGCCTGAACAGTGGAGTGGGGGCAAGAGTGGACATATTTGGTTTTTCACTTGGCTCTGGAACATGCTGGAGACTGCTGTATTTAAATAAACATTTCCTGTTTGCGAAGGAGAACGGGCGAAAGGCTGAAACGTGAGAATGTGGTAACTTAATTTTCTCCATCACTCCAGATGACGGCTAGCTTTGCTGGTGGTTGGGTCCAATAAAAACCGACACCATGTCATAGGCTTTCCCTCACTTGACCACAGAAGTCCTGAGGTCAAGTGGGAGACTTTCCAAGATGCTCAACAGCCAAGCCCTGCGTCCGGGCACTTCTAGCCCTCAGGGCAAGTCCTTAGAGGACAGGGACAAGCCAGTGAATCATGGGACCTCTCTGTGTCAACGATGGTGATGTGGCCTTTTAGGGAAACACAGTGCTCTCCTGGACAGACTAAGGAGCAGCTGAGTGGACCTGTATACCCTCCAGGGTGCTGTGCAACTCTGAACAGATTGCATTACCTCTCTGGGCCTCATTTTTGTGAAAGTAGAATCCTTGTATAGCCTTAGTGGTTTTCTTAGTGGTTATAGTCCACTGGGGGAACTGTCAGGATCCACTTCCCTGGTGTCTAGAACACTGCCTGGCACACAGTAGGTTTTCAGCAAATATGCATTCAATAAAGGAAGAATGCGCCTCAAAAAGACAAGTGCTTCTTTAGTTCTTACAAGTGAAAGATGGACCATTATAGATTTGCATTTTGGCTTATACTAAGGGCTCCTTACTAGTCACCTATGACATGAGTTATTAAGAGTATCTAAAATTTGGATTTTATGAACTAAAATCTATTGGCTTACTAGAGTTACCAAGGACTCCTGTTGAGTGATCTACTCTGGAGTCTGGTTGCCGGGCGTTGCTTAGCAACCCTGCAAAACTCCTACTGTGCACAGGCCCATGAAAAGAGCTGGAAATCCTGAGCACTTAAACCATAGGACTTTCTAATCAGGAACTCATCAGCATCATCCTGAGCGCTCTGTGGGTTTTGATTGCTGCTCTTCTTGTATTAATTGATAAGTTCTGTTTTTGTTGATCATCTGGATTTTCTGTTATTTCTGCATTTTTGCCATTTTGTTTGTTATATTGTTTTCTCTCCAGTGTTGTTTGTTGTCACAGAGTTCTGTCTCCCCTGGAAAGTGAGAAGGAATACAGCTAGTGCTCGACTTATGACCACGATTGGTTCCGACAGACCAGTCGTAACACGATTTGGTCGTAAGTTGAGTAGGCTATATGCACGCGGAGATGGTAGTGCTGCCGGAAGCTGGTCCGCACTGTCATATGCCCAGCTGGGCAATGTTTGCGCTGCCAGATGCAGAGCAGTCGTGGCTAGCGATTGTGGTCGTAAAGTCGAATGGTCGTAGGTTGCATAGGTCGTAA